CCCGAGCCCCTCCATCGGTGGTGCCAGCAGGCTGGAGAACACCAACCCAGCCCAACCCATGACCCCGCTGCATGTCGTCACCCAGAATGGGGCAGAGGCCAGCTCGGTGAAGACCAACAGCCCGGCCTACTCGGACATCTCCGACGCTGGGGAGGATGGGGAGGGCAAGCTGGAGAGCGTGAAGGTGAAGGATCCGGAGCAGCTGGTCAAGGAGGGCGCCAAGAAAGCTCTTTTCCCCCCGCAACCGCAGAGCAAAGAGTCTCCTTACTACCAAGGCTTCGAAACCTACTATTCCCCCGGCTACCCCCAGGCCAGCCCGGGGCCCTTGAACCCTGGCAGCCAGGCCGCAGCTGAGACGCCAGCCTTGAAGCTAAAGAAGGACGAGGAGCAGGAGAATGCAGAAGTGAAGGTGAAGAGCGAGGGCTGCGAAGAGAAGAAGGCAGAGCTGGGAGGCTCCAGCCAGCAGCCCTCGGTCATCCAGCAGCGCCCCAACATGTACATGCAATCCCTCTACTACAACCAGTACGCCTACGTCCCCCCCTACGGCTACAACGAGCAGGGCTACCATGCTCACCTGCTGAGCACCAACCCTGCCTACCGCCAGCAGTACGAGGAGCAGCAGAAGCAGCGGCAGAGCCTGGAGCAACAGCAGCAGCGAGGGCTGGAGAAGAAAGCGGAGCTGAGCTTGAAGGAGAGGGAGGCGGCGCTCAAAGAGGAGTGGAAGCAAAAGCCACCCATGCCCCCGACGCTCACCAAGGCCCCCAGCCTCACGGACCTCGTCAAGTCAGGGCTTAGCAAGGCCAAGGAGCAGGGAGGTCCTGACATGGCCAAATCCGTCATCATCCCCAAGCTGGAGGATTCCTCCAAGCTGTCCGGCAGCCAGGTCGCCGAGGGGCTCAAGGTGAAGCTGAGCGAGGCCAGCCACCTCGGGAAGGAGAGCGCTGAGACGAAGGCTGGCTCCGAGTGTGGCCGGCAAGCGGAGGTGGACCCTGTGCTCTGGTACAGACAGGTAATGCCCAGTCCTGTCTGCCAGCCCGGCCGTGGTCTTCCTCCTGGAGGAAGCCCCTCACTCACCATGGGGGTTTTCTGGGGTCATCATCTCAGAGGACATGTTGTCCTCATGATGGGGCTCCATGAGGTTCCCTTGGGGCCGGGAAGAGGATGGAGCTGGAAGGTCATGGATAGGCCAAGGGGAGTAGGGTTTGCTGGTCTCCAAATCCAGATGGGTTTTGGGGCCGGCAGGAGGCAGGGTTCTGATGGTTGGTTGGTTCTTGCAGGAAGCTGAGCCCCGGATGTGGACCTACGTGTACCCAGCAAAGTACTCAGACATCAAGACAGAGGACGAGCGGTGGAAAGAGGAGAGGGACAGAAAATTGAAGGAAGAAAGAAATCGAAGCAAAGAAGCCACATCCAAGGAGGACGGGAAGGAGAGCACCAGCTCCGAGTGCAAACTGACCCCCACCGAGGAGGCTCGCATGGTGGGGAAGGACCCCAGACCTAGCGTCCACGTCCCCGTTTCTTCCCCCCTCACGCAGCATCAGTCCTACATCCCCTACATGCACGGCTACTCCTACAGCCAGTCGTACGACCCCAACCACCCCAGCTACCGGGCTATGCCCACCGTCATGATGCAGAATTACCCAGGTAATGGGCAATTCCCCCTGGGGGGGTCTTCTCGAGGATGTCCCTTCCCAGGCTGTCCCTGCTCCCAGAGCGGGGGATGGCTGCGGGACATCCTCTCACGTGTGGCGGCACACGCATGGAGCTGCGCGCTCCTGCTGTGCCGCCCAAAAAGGCTCCTCGTACCCTGACTACCGTCTTGTCCCCTGTCCCCAGGATCATACCTACCCTCCAGCTATTCCTTCTCCCCGTACGGGAGCAAAGTGTCCGGGAGTGACGACAG